CGCACCTTGAGTTCGCAGATTCCTCGCAGCAAAGGGGGCAAACGGCAGCACCCAACTGAAGCGCCTTAATTGTATCCCCGATTTTGTGCGTTAATCTCTGGTCGGTCGGAGGAGGAGGAGGAGGAGGAGGAGCCCAGAGCCTGCGTTGGGGGTGACTACTGGAGTCTAACCAGCCAACACTGCACAGCTTGGCCACCGAGAGAGAGAGAGAGAGAGAGCGAGGAGATGCCGTCCTTCGGACGAGACATTAAATTAAGCTCCTGTTCAGGTGGACGTTTAAAAACATTCCGCCGCTCTCCCTGCCTTTGAAAGGGGAAGGCTTATTCGATCGGATATGCTTCTACTGATAACATTTGACACCCATCACGTCGTCGAGAGGTCCTAAAGCGCTTCACGGAATATACTGTACATAGCGGATTAAATGTGCTGCATCCGGTGGGCGAAATGTGGCAAACCAATTGCGCTCAGCCGTGTCCCACAAACAGCCTTGAATGAAGTGACCATCTTTTAAAATGCATAAATAATAATAATAATAATCCTTGAATTTGATATAGCGCTTTTCACGTCGGGAGGACGTCCCAAAGCGCTTCACAGAACACACTGTAAAGTGAATTGACTGTATATTTGTGGGCGAACGCGGCAGCCAATTGCGCACAGCGATGTCCCACAAACAGTCGTGGATTGAAAATGACCAATTTATTATTGTTTTGGGTTTTGGAGGGATTATTATTAGGCTCTGTGTGGAGTAAGGAAACTTGCCCAAGGTTTCGCCCTCTGCCTGGGATTGAACTCAGGTCTCTCACTTGCAAAGCGAGTGCTCTAACCACTGAGCTACAGGACTCCACAAATACGTTTAGAGCTCCATATTTATATATAAACATATATATAAATAGCTATCTAGATATGTGTATATATATATATATTTAAGAACCTGCCTATATATTTGAGTGGTTCGCATTTAATAACTGTACGATAGCAATTTTTTAAACAAAAACTTTTTAAGTGAAGGTCACCGGTTTGCCTGAATTTCATTATGTCACCGCCAGGGGCAGCTTTTAAGTTCCCTGTAAAAAATACAGTACGTAGATAGATATACAGCTCAGCACATCCCTGGCACACAGCAGGGAGGCCAGAGTCTGTGACGACACGCGTGAGCTTGCAGTGCGAGCGACAAGCAAGAGCCTGGGGCGTTCATTTCAAACACACACATAGACACACATAGATACACACACATACACACACGTAGCTACACACACACACATAGATACACACACGTACACGTAGATACACACACACACATAGATACACACACATATGCACACGTCACACATAGATACACACACATACACACACACGTAGATACACACACACACATAGATACACACACACATAGATACACATACATAGATATACACATAGATACACACACCTACACACATCGATACATACGCATACATAGTTACATACACACACACACACACACATAGATACACACATACACATACACACACAGATGCATACACACACACATACACATAGCTACACATACATACAGAGACACACACATATGCACACACATACACACATACACATACATAGATTATAAAGAAGATTTTTTCCTAAAAAAAACAATTAGAAGGGAGAGAGGGAGAGAGAGAGAGACATTTGCAGACATTTTAATCGCAAGTGCATCGCAAACGAATCCTCTCGACTGTTCAACAAACTTTTGCTACGATGTTTAGACTTTTTTTTAATATGTGTGTGTGTGTGTGGGGTGGGGGTGGTGGGGGGGCTGTGTGTGTGGGGTGGGGGGGCTGTGTGTGTGGGGGGGTGGGGGGCTGTGTATGTGTGGGTTGGGGGGGACGGATTCCATCTGCCTTATTAATGGGTGCAAACATTAAAGGGGGAAGGGGGGGAAGGAACGTGGGAGGGGGGGAATAAATGATAAGCCTTCGTCTGAAACAAGTGGTGCAATTTCGCCCCAATATTTATTATTTATTGCGATTGTTTTTTTGTAGCCCAAAAAAAACAAAAACAATAATAAATTAGTCATTTTCAATCTACGACTGTTTGTGGGACATTGCTGTGCGCAATTGGCCGCCGCGTTCGCCCACAAATATACAGTCAATTCACTTTACAGTGTGTTCTGTGAAGCGCTTCGGGACGTCCTCCCGACGTGAAAAGCGCTATATCAAATGCGAGGATTATTATTATTATTATTATTATTATTATTATTATCCTTGGGTGGTGGAAGGAAGGAAAGGGCGTTGTTTTGCTCTGTGGACTCACAGCTGATTTGGGTCTTAAATCTCTTGTCAATGTCATGTTGATTTCTCTCTGTCACTCTCTCTGTCACTCTCTCTGTCTCTCTCTCTCTCTCCAACACCCCACCCCTGTCAGTCAGTGTCAGTGTGAGCACCAACTCTCTCTTGTCCCTGTAAACGTGTTACACCTTAAACGCGGGTCAATCAGAAAATCACACACACACCACACACACCACACAGATATACACACAGCACCACACATAGATACACACACACACACGCCACACAGATATACACACACACATCATACAGATACACACACCACACACATCACACAGATATACACACACCACCACACACAGATACACACACATCATACAGATACACACACACACACACCACAGATATACACACACACAACCACACACAGATACACACACCACACACACCACACAGATATACACACACCACCACATACAGATACACACACACACCACACACACACACACACACCACACAGATATACACACACACATCATACAGATACACACACCACACACACACACCACACAGATGCACACACACCACACACACAGACACACACATAAATACACACACCACACAGATAACCACACACAGACACAGACAGACACACACAGACACACAGTCACACACACAGACAGACAGTTTTTTCAAAAAAGCAACAGTACCAAACAACCAAAGCGTCTCCAAATTTCTCCTCTCTCTCTCTCTCTCCATCCCTCCCTCCCTCCCTCCTTCTTTCTCTCTGTGTGTGTCACACTCACGCCCTCCTCCTCCTCCCTCTCTCTCTCTCTCTTTCCTTTTCTATTTGCCATTCCCCTCTTCTCCAGCCACAAGCCCACAGCCAACATGTCAGAGCATCGTCTGATGGTGGAGGAACTCAATGAGCTTTTGGCCAACGACAGTGGGTTTTACAGTCTCCCGACACAGCACTGCAATGAAGTTTATCCCAAGATCTATGTGGGCAATGCGTAAGTGTGTCTGTGTAGCTTTTATATACACATATATATATACATATATGTTGTGCATTCTCCACACAACTCCAGGACTGTGTCTGTGTCTCTCTCTATCCCTTTTCCCTCTGAGATTTGACTGTAGATTTCACTGCAACTGGAAGACTGTTATACACTCAGACAGACGCCTGTTGTGTTTTTTGTTGTTGTTGATCTATATATTCTCTCTCTCTCTATATATATATATATGTGTATATATAAAACATATGTCAATGGCTTTAGGGTGTTTCGTTCATGAAATATTTCTCAGCCAAACACACACCTACACCTACACACACACACACACACACAGAGAGAGAACATCAAACGATGTAAATCTATTTGGTTTTAATGCCAAATCATAGCAGATTTATTCTTCTATTTAATATTTCACACACACACACACTCACACTCATAACACAACAAGCAACTGGGAGGAGAAAAGAGAGGACAGAATAAAGCTTTTAAAAAGAGATGTGCAGGCAAGTCTTGGAATGGAAATGCCATGTTTTATGTTGCAAAGATATTTATATGATATTAATGGATTGTTCAGGGATTTTTTTTGTGGGGGGTGGGTTAAAGGCACTGTTTTTTTCCCCTCCCTCTGGAGCATTTGTGTGTGTGTGTGTGTGTGTGAAATGATTGCACATTGCAATGAGGCCTAAGAGAGAGAGAGAGAGAAAGAAAGAGAGAGAGAGAATGAGATCTGATATGTTGAAATATTCTATTAAAAGACAAGTGAGTGGAGTGATTAACCCCTCATTACCCGCCTCTAACATCTGTATTTCCGATGGGGGAACTCCATGACATTTTTTTTAATTATTGCCCTCTGTGGAAATGATCCTTTTTTTTTTCCCCCTTAATTTGAGGCTTTATTAAAAAGAAAAAGAAAATTCTCTCTCTCTCTCTCTCTCTCTCTCTGGCTTGCACCTTGGTGTGAGATGGAGCACATACACAGACACACACACAAACACAGGCAGAATGAGATTTTTCTTTGACATTGCAAAGGGTTTGCTTTGACTTACAGGTGAACTCTGCAGTGTGGGTGATGGGTGGGTGATGGGTGATGGGTGGGTGGGTGGTGGGTGGGTGATGGGTGGAGGAGAGGCAATGGTCATATGTGGTTGAATTGGCTTTGCATTGGGGAGAAGAGAGAAGAAGGCGTTTATTACCAATAAAAAAACAGCTCTCCCACTCTCTCCTCCCAGTTAATTTCCAACCAGCTTTGGGATATGGTTTGCACACAGACTGGACTCTCTTTCTCTCTCTCTCTCTCTCTCTCAGTCAGTCACCTCAACAGTTTGGGGAAAGTATCTTAAAAAAAAACTGGGTTGGGGTGTGAGAGCCAAAGGGGAGCTCTTGCTATCAATCAAATAAGGAGGAGGAAAGGGTGGGACTTGTTGAATTTTTCTTGCAGTCAACTTTTGCCTCGGAAAAATTGGCAAGGCTTCTCTTTTTGTTGTTGCCGCTGGGTATCCCGTGGAGCGCTTCGAGACGTCTCGGGAGACGCGGTTAAGGCGCTGCATCAAACGCGAGGATTTAGCATTATTATCGTCTCCGCGTGTAGATCGGGATGTTACACGTGGAGTTCTCAGTTTGGTTCGGATGCTCTTAAAACGCGGTGTCGGATACCCGGCCGACGCGAAAAAAAAAAACAACAGTCATGGAGGAAATGACCAATTGGACCTGGGGGGGGGTTGTTGACCAGGAGACACTGGGAGAGAGGAAACTGCTTTCTCACGCAGGAAGTGCCAAGGGCATCTTTTTAACAGCCACCTAAACAGGGCACAGCTGGTTAGACCTCGGCTTTAATCTCTCTTCTGAAGGACAACGCCTCCGACGGTATCGCAAATGCATATCAGCCGGAAATATTGCCTGCCTCGCAAACTGTTGCAAATGTGTCAGAGGGGGCTGCGGAGCACTCAGTAACTTATATGATTGATCGCTCGGCCGCGGTACGGAAAAACGTTTTGACGCGGTGAAAACATAAAGCTTTGTGTTCTTGATTGAAATATTGACCTGCAACATTTGTGTGTGTGTGTGCGCGTGTTTGCGTGCTCGCGAGTGTGTGTGTGTGTGTGTGTGTGTGCCCGTTGACACATCTGTGTGCCGTGTGCGTGCGTGAGTTGCGTGTGTGAGTGTGCATGTGTGCGTGTGAGGAGTTCCACTCCTTCCCCACGGTTGCCAGGGATGCAATGACTTAACACTAAATGATTAATGTGTTATTACAATAAAAGGAGGCGTGCAGTCTGCTGGCTCTGTGAGGAGAGAGCTCAAAGTGTTGGGGATGCTCAAAGCAAAGTGAAGGGAAGCCGTTAACTCCAAATGACCGCATTCCTCCAAATCACCTTCTTTTTCCCTTCCGGTCCCGGGAAACTAATTGCAGAATATTCGAGCCTCGGGAAGGGGAGGGGAGTGGGGAGGGTGGTAGTGGGGGGGGAATGGGGACGGGTGGGGGGCGAGATTGCAAACAATAACAACTCTGTGATTCCCAAGTGACTCAACCTGGGGGCTTGAACCCACAATCTTCTGACTCAGAGGCTACCCACTGAGCCAGGCTGACGCAGGTTTTAACCCCCGCAACCACCACAACAACTTGCACTTATATAGCACTTATATAGCGCCCCAAGTAGTCGATATATATATTGCGTTGATATCAACTGTGGATTCGAACCTCCGACCCACCAGTCTCGGTTGGGCCGGTGCTGTAGCCAAGTGATGTCCTCACCCTCTAGGCCACTGGAGAAGTTCACGGGATCTGATTTCACTCCTCCGGCCAGCAGTCACTGGTGATTTATGGTCTGTCTGAGAGTTAAAAATAGGCTTTACGTTGTTGTGGGAGGGTGGGGGGGGGGTGGGATGGGGGGATGGGGGGAGGTGGGGTAGAGAAAGTTCCCGTCATGTCAGCAAGTACCGAGTGAGCCAGTCTGGACTTCGCATCTGGTGCGTTTGGGACGCAGCCAGATTTGGAGGAAAACTAGGCCATCTCGTGCTGTCCAGGATTCAGAACATCTATAAAAACAAATCGGATGCACGCAGCGTCGAGGAACAGGAGGAGGCCATTCAGCCCCTCGAGCCTGGTTCTGCCATTCCGATCTGCACCGCAACTCCCAATCGATCAGCGAACGGATACCTGAAACCGATTCCCTCTCTCCGTGTCCTCCGGAACTCTCGGTTTGAGGGGCGATCTCTCAGACACGCCAACGTCTCTTAAGTTCCCACCGATTTTTTTTTAAAAAAAAGAAATCAATCAAAATGAAACCGTCTCCCAGATTAAGGCCGGGTTGAAGAATCCGTCAGATAAGATTGACACGGCTGTCTGCGGGACATCGCTGGGTGTGCATTGTCTGCCGACAAAACCCACAGTCACTGCGCTCTACAGCGAAGTGCTTCGAGACGTCCGAACGACGCGAGGAGACCCTGTGCCAAACGCAAGGAGTATTATTGTTCCGATTGTTGTTATTATTTCAGCGCCCCCTGAATTTTTTAAGCCGAAAATTCCATTCCGTACGTCCTTATTAATCTCTTGGGATGTAAACGGTTGTGATCTCGATCTCTTGTCTCTTTCTGTTCCCAGGTTTGTGGCACAAAATCTGATGAGGCTCGAGCGGTTGTCAATAACTCACGTGTTGAACGCCGCGGAAGGGAAATCCTTCATGCACGTCAATACCAATGCGGAGTTCTACTCTGACACAAGGATCGTCTACCATGGGATCAAAGCCAACGACACGGAAGCCTTCAATCTCAGCGCCTACTTCGAAGAAGCCTCAGACTTCATCGACAAGGCGTTAGCGCAAAAGGATGGTGAGCAAGTCGCTTGCGGCGCTGTTTGTGGCGTCGCTGTAGCTTAGCGGTTAGCGCGCCCGCTTCGCCAGCGAGAGGGTCCTGGGTACGATTCCCGGGTGGGGCGAAACCTTAGGCAAGTTAGTCGATTGGCGGTTGGCTTTCCCGGGAGTGGTGAGGGTAGGTTGGGTGGGGGGGTATTAATAATCCCTTAAAAAAATTGTCACTCAAATCCACGACTGGACTGTTTGCGGAGATAGTCGCCGGGCCCAGCGGGCTGCCGCGTTTCGCCCAGAGTCAATGGACAGTCGACCCACGTTCCAGCTCCATCCCGTGAGACGCTTCGAGGCGTCGCGAGGACGTGGCAAAGGTCCTGCATCAAACGCGAGGATTATTTATTGTTCATTCATTCTTATTTTTTGAGGAGCCGTTCCGGGCCCACTCTTGGCTGAGCCCACATTCCCTGATTGCACTTGACCGTGATGTATCGCTGTCAGTGTTAAGCGATGCATTTCGTGGCTCAGTTGTGCCTCAAGTGACTGGATTAATGAGCTCTCCTCTAATTGGAGTGTAATAGGTCTGTAGGGTAATTTATGTTCATGGATTAAACGTCCCATTAGAAATGCGGAGCCTTTAGCGTTGCTGATGTGTCGAGGCACAGAAATGGAAGTGGCCCCCTTTTGCCTCGCGCTCTCTCTCTCTTCACCCACCCCCACCCCCCCCATTTCGCCCACAGTCACTACACTTTACAGTATATTCCTGCGAAGCGCTTTGAGACGTCTCGAAGACGTGATAAGACATGACATGAAATGCAAGGATTATTATTATTATTATTATTTGCCTTGACCTATCTGCCATTGGAGTTCCTACTTAACTTGGTTCCTACTTAGGCAGGCGTATGGCGTAAGGAAACTTGCCCAGGGTTTCGAACCCGGGTCCTCTCGCTTGCGAGGCGATCGCGCCAACCACTACACTAGGAAACCCCGCAATGGGGGGGGGGGCACCCTTTTGTGTGCTGGAAATGTCTCTTTCGAAATCTATGTGTATTCCCAGCTCAGAACATGAACGTCACAGCGATAATTCAGACGGGAGGTTAACGATTGTAATGATAATGATAATCACAATAACCCTGGCATTTGATACAGCGCCTGATCACGCCTTCGAGACGTCTCAAAGCGCTTCGCGGGATACGCTGCAAAGCGAGTTGACTGTATATTTTGTGGGCGAAATCCGACAGCCAGCGGCGCACAGCAGCGTCCCCCACACGCCGTCGTGGATTGAGCGACCAATTTTTTTGGGAGGGAGCTATTCCCCCAGGAACAGCCGTCCGCCAACCAACTAACAACTGGGTTCCCTCTTACCGCTGGGTGAACAGAGGCGCGTTTAGAGCGAGGAAACCTGCCCAATGTTTTGGGAATCGAACCCAGATCTCTCGCTTGCGAGGAGCGCTCGAACGGCTCAGCTACAGGACCCCACAATCCATTGGATTGGATTGGATTGGATTGGATTGGATTGGATTTGCAAGGCACATGAAACTAACCATGAGTTCTCTTCCCTCTCTCCCCCTCTCCGCCTCTCCCCCCCCACCCTCTCTCTCTCTCTCTCTCTCTCTCTCTCCCCAGGACGAGTGTTTGTCCATTGCAGGGAAGGATACAGTCGATCTCCCACTCTCGTCATCGCTTACCTGATGCTCAGACACCACATGGAGGTGAAAACTGCCCTTCTTACCGTCCGCCAGAAAAGAGAAATCGGCCCGAACGACGGGTTTCTCAAGCAGCTGTGTCAGCTGAACCAGAAACTGGTGAAGGAGGGGAAGCTTAAATCTTAAAATAACTTTAGTTTATACTCAAATTACAGCCGGTGCCTGGCTGGTAGGGATTGACAGATTATCCAAGGTAGTGTGTGTGTGTGTGTGCGTGTGTGTATGTGTGTATGTGTGCGTATGTGGGTGTGCGTCTGTGTCCGTGTCTGTGTGTGTGTGTTATTTCCTCAGTGCTTTTCTTAGTAGGATTGACTTTACTTGAAGGGGCAATTTTTCAGCCGTTATCTACCCGACCCAGTTCGAGACTGGAGACACCGTTGGCGATTTAATAGCCTTCACTTTTCTCCTCTTCTTCCACCGCGCCTCGGGTCACCTCCCCCCCACCTCCATCCCCCCCCCCCCCTCCATCCCCTCCCTCCCCCCCCCTCCATCCCCTCCTTCCCCCCCCCCTCCATCCCCTCCCTCCCCCCCCCTCCATCCCCTCCCCCCCCCCCCCCCCTCCATCCCCTCCCTCCATCCCCCCCCCCCTCCATCCCCTCCCTCCCTCCCCCCCCCCTCCATCCCCTCCCGCCCTCCCCCCCCCCCCTCCATCCCCTCCCTCCCCCCCCCTCCATCCCCTCCTCCCTCCCCCCCCCCTCCATCCCCTCCCTCCCCCCCCCCCCTCCATCCCCTCCCGCCCTCCACCCCTCCTGATCCCAACCACCAGCTCGGGTCCCTGACTGTCCAGCGCCTCGGGACGTCCTCCTGACGCGAAAGGCGCTGTAACAAAAATGTAACGCGTCGTCGTTAAGTCACCGTTTCGGGGCTTTTTATACTCTCGCACGTGGTGGAAGGAAATCGGGGGGCGGGGGGGGGGGCGGGGGGGGGGTGAGGAGTGGTGGGGGGGGGGTGTGTGGGTAGGGGACAAAGTGAGCGACTGATTTTATCGGCGGGCATGTGGGTTGGGGACGTCGGGAGGAAAATATTTTTGGGGGAGTTCAGCGAACAGAAAATCATTACCACCGCTTAAGAGTTAACGTCCGCGGACAGACGCGGACACGAGTTCGGTTTAACGCCTCCGCCTCTGCGCTCTCTCTCTCTCTCTCCCCACAAAACCCTTTAATATCTCTTCTCGTCGATCATCCGGATCCACTTTGACCACAATCCAGCAGTCGCCCTAACCCCTACCGGGTCTTTGAGCTTCACGATTTGTCCCATGTGAAGGGGCTCTCTCTCTCTCTCTATATATAATATATATAATTATGAGTCATTGTGGGCTGTGTGTGTGTATATGTGTGTGTGTGTGTGTGTATATGTGTGTGTGTGTGTGTGTGTATATGTGTGTGTGTGTATATGTGTGTGTGTGTGTGTATATGTGTGTGTGTGTATATGTGTGTGTATATGTGTGTGTGTGTATGTGTGTGTGTGTATATGTGTGTGTGTATGTGTGTGTGTGTATATGTGTGCGTGTGTGTGTGTGGGCTCAGTGTGGTGCACACACACACACACACAGCACGTAAACGTCTAAGAGATCGGAAAGAGCTAACGATGGACCATCTCAACCGGAATCCCTTCCCGACTCCACCAGCTCCCCCCCCCCCCCCCCCACACACACCGTTCACCTGTTCGCACGTCTCTCCCTCCTGAGGCCGAACACTCGATCGATTTCCTCACGGGAGAGGACCAAAAATAAGGCAAAATTGGTGGGGAGCGGTGGGGTGGGGTGGGGTGCGGTGGGGTGGGGTGGGGTGGGGTGTTGGGGTGGGATGTTTGGAGGGGGGGGACGAGAGGTCACACCTTAATTAATGGACAATTCTTTCCATAATCGACCAGATTCCTTCGTTGACCTCCACCCCCGGCTCAGGGTGCCAAGACAACAGGGTTAACATCGACAGCAACTTATATAGCTCCCCGCACGCAAGATAGCGTCGCAGAGCGCTCTGAACCCCCACCCAACCTCCGCACCCCCCCCCACCCAAACCCCAACCCCCACCCAACCTCCGCACCCCCCCACCCACCCAAAGCCCACCCACCCCCCCGAACCCACCCCCGCCCACGCGCACCCAGATGTGAGAGGCACCGTTACGTTACAGATGTCAATCGGATCGTATTGGCTTTGCCGGTGGTTGGAACATTCTGATCGGGTTTCGATTGAGGTCCGAGACTTTGCCCCTTCGTGTTTCCAGGTTGATTTTTCCCGATCGTATCTCTGTGCGTGTGAGCGCAGAGAAGCTTTGTGCTGCCATATTAAACGTGAGATTTAAAGTTACCGCCGGGGTTTTTAAATGTCCCGAGACCTTACAACTTGAACAATTCCTGTGTATAGATATATAACACGCGCACACACATCTATATATATATATATATATATATATATTTCCGAGTCTGTGTAAGTATTTATTTCCGAGTTCGATATTTTTTACGTTGGGTTTCTTTTTTTGGACGGAAAACCAGAAGTTTTGTGGCTTATGTACTAGAGTGGAGATTTGTATTTTTATTCTGTTCCCGCGCAGTGTTTAAAAAAAAAATGAAATAAATAAATAAATAAATAAATAAAAAGGCAAAAATTCTGGCTACACGTGTGTCTGCACTTTTTTTTTGGCATTACCTGTGTTGAGACGGAGATGTGGATTGTCAGGGAATTATTGGGCGCCGTTCGGTAATTGTGGAGTCAGTGGTTGGAGCACTCGCCTGGCAAGCGAGAGGGACCTGGGCGCGATTCCCGGGCGGGCCGGGCGAAGCATTCGGCAAGTTTCCTTACTCCGCACGCGCACAAACACACACGCACACACACACACACACGCACACGCCTCTCTTTACCCAGCAGTAAGCAGGAACCAGGTTGTGAGTCCATTTGGCGGGTCCCTTTTCCGCGAGTAAAAATCCCTTCAAAAAAATAAAAATCATAATCAACCATTGGGTCGTTCGATCCACGACTGTTTGCGGGACGACGCTGTGCGCAGATTGGCCGGCGCGCTCGCCTGCAAAGCACACGGCCGCTGACGCGTTCAGCGCTCCGAGGCCTCGTGCCGCTGTGATAAAGCGCCTTGTCGTTCAAACGCAAGGGTTATTGTGGTCGAGAAACCCAAAAGGTGTCAGAAATGTAGAGTGTGCGATCATCCACTGGGTGACGCTAGAGCCTGCCTCGTTTGGTTAGACCAGATTATCTCTGCATCTCTGCCCTCCACTTCTCCGCGGGTTCTGGTCCGAACCGCGGTGTCGGTGGCGAGGAGGGAGGAAGTGAGGAGCGGGTTATTATTCCAACGATATTCGGGGAGCGATGTCCCCGACGTGCCACTTGATTACAACGCGGCCACTGCGCTACTCGCCAATACCCCCACGAACCGCTTCGAGACGTTTCACCGTCGCAACGACCCTTGCCTGGCCCTCGAGACGTCTCGGAGCGCTTCGCTTCGCGGGATCGCGCTGCGCGGGGGGGGTGGGGGGGGGGGGGCGGTGACTGCGTTGGCAGACGGACAAGGCGGCCAGTCCGCAAACATCCCACGGCCCCTGAAGCGAAAGCTCCTGAGGTTTCATAACAAGACAAATAATGACAAATAATAATTACGCTTGCATTTGTATAACGCTTTTCACGTCTTCTCGACGTCTCAAAGCGCTTCACAGGAAGCACTGTAAAGCGAACTGAATGCATTTCGTGGGCGAAACTTGTTTCATAAGGAACGAGATCAAACGCGAGGATTATTGTACAGTATAGCAAAGAATGCAGAGGTATATGTGATGTATTACTGTATATATTGTTGATTAAAGACAGTCTGTACTCAACCTTGGGTCTGAGACAGTCTGAGCGTTTGAGTCATCTTCCCTTATCTCCTGAAACAATGTACAGTGACTGAGATTATCTCTGATTCTGATCCCCTATTATTTATCTAACCTTATTAAGTAAGGATTTGCAGATGCGGAAAGAAAAATATGATCGGACCAGACAAACTATTAGGGGAACAAAAAAATTCTTTCGTGACCCCGGGAAAGGAAACTCGATGATTAAGGGGATGGTTTGCATTCCGAGTTCCACCTAATGTTAACCGCTTGAGGACTGACGATGATTGCGGTCTGGCATGGGACCCGGTCTGTTCGGAATCGAGACTTCCCCACATCTGTGCCTCTCTGTGTATTTCGCCCGCGACAGTATTGACAATCGTAATAATGATAACAATCCTCGCACTCGATACGGCGCCTTATCACTCCGTTGAGACGTCTCAAAGCGCTTCACGGGATGCAGCGCAAAGTGGATTTTGTGGGCGAAAGGCAGAAGTCGATTGCGCACAGCAGTGTCCCACAGACAGCCGGGGATTGAGCGACTTTTTTTGGTGGGGTGGGGGGGGGGGGGGGTCGTGTGTGCGCGACCAATTCTCGTGGGGAGGGGGGAAAGGGGATCTTTGCACAGATCTGGGGACGGAGGGGAGCTGCTTTTCGGGCAGTTAAATCAGAGGCATTTGCAGTGGGAGCCATTGCTATTAAATGTTACTGCGTAGTCAGTAAAGGTACCTCAACGGTTACGAATCTATCTGCATAAACCCGCAGACTAGCGATGCCACTCGCCCTCACAACAAAGTTAACCGAGTTTCCCCGGCAAGTTCACAGAAATTACTCTAACAAGCGCTCAATCAGGAGAAGATTGCGATAATACCTCGGATTCCTTTCGAGATTAAAATAAAACGATGATCTCAGATACGCAAGACGCCAGAGTCGACTGAAATGGTCACAAATCTCCCTTTATGGAGATTTCACTTTTTTTTTGCCTGTTTATAATTCATTTATTTCATCTCTCAACAAAGGTACAGGACATTACACACAAACACACACACACACACACACGAGCGCACAAATAAATACGCACAATAAATCTAGCCTTTCTTTATAATTGTTTGTCAAAACATTGTTATTAGCTATGATCCCCAAATAAAATAGCCAAAATTATTAGCACTGAACTCAGGGCAAAATGCAATGCAATTTGCATTTAATGTAACCCCTCAAACACCGAAATAGCTCGAATTAGCTATTTTTCACGTAATATTAGCCGTTCGAAAATGCCACAAAACATTTGATCTCAACAAATTGCGCTGTTTCGCAAGAACCCTTAACGTGACGATCTGGATTAAAGGCTCTTGAGACGGGAAGAGAGGGGGAGGAAGAGAGCGTGGGGAGAGAGAGAGAGAGAGAGAGAGAGGGAGGGAGAAGGGAGAGAGAGAGAGAGGGAATGAAAGGCTTTCAAAGTTAATGTGAAGTTTTTTTTTAAAAAGTTTTTTTTTCTTGTGAGGAAGGACTTGCTATTGGTCGCAAGTGTCTGACACACTGGGAGGTGGGGTGGCTGTGGGAGTTGGAGGGTGGGGGCTGATATGAACATATAAAGAGGGGCAAAGGTGTGCAGAGCAGAGCAATCTGTTGTGGGGGGTCAGAGAGACAAGAGCAGAGTGTGGAGGAGAGACAAGAGAGTTTGGGGGAGAGTTTGGGAGAGAGTGATAGAGATAGGAGAGGGTTTGGGAGAGAGAGAGAGTTTGGGAGAGAGAGTAAGTTTAAGAGAGAGAAAGTTTAAGAGAGAGAAAGTTTAAGAGAGAGAGAGAGAGAGACAGACAGACAGAGGGAGAGTTGGGGGGAGAGAGAGGGGGAGAGATAGAGAGTGAACGTTTGGGAGAGATAGAAAGAGAGAGTTTGGGAGAGGGGGGAAAGTTTGGGGAGGAGAGAGAGAGAGAGAGGGAGGGAGGGAGGGAGGGAGGGTGAGAATTTGGGAGAGAAAGGGAGAGTGAAAGTTTGGGAGGGAGAAGAGATAGAGAGAGAGAGAGAGAGAGAGAGTTTGGACCAATTTGCAGGGAGAAGAGATAGAGGGTTTGGTTTGGACCAATTTGCTCCCAGGACAGGACAGGACAGGACAGGGGTGATGGGGAAGCTGGACCAAGGTTCAGTGGCTGTTTGCCTCTGGCTGGTGATGGTGGGAGGGAGTTGGGGTCTATCAGAGGGTTGGGGGTCTTTGAAGAACGATGCCACTGAGCTCCTGCCCCAGTTCACAGAGGTGCTGATCCCTGAGCCTGGAAACCACAGCCTCAACCGAGCCAAACAGAGCAACAGAAGACACTTCCAACACACAGACTCCCAAGGTCAGAGAATTAAGGAGAATTTATTGCAAAAAAATTCCCCCTTCCCCCTTTAATTTGCACTGGGGGAAACTTTAAAGGGGGGTCAAGTTCTTTTTTTGCCATGTGGATGTGTGCATTTGATTGATTGTTTTATCAAATGTATTATATTCTTCATATTGCAATAAATACACTCAAGATACAGTGCCACTGCATTTAATATATAGATATATATATCATTTTTTTTTAAATATGTATTTCAGTAAATATGTTCTGGATTTCATGGGTTTATTTGGGAGGCCATGTGATTAAAAATGCCCAAAATGTAACGCGCGGTATATTTCTTGTATTGACAAATTTGCGGTTTGCAGTAAAGTGCTTTGAGACGTCTCAGCGACACGACGAGACGCTATCGAACACAAGGACCGTTATTGCGACGATCCTTGGATTTGCCGCAGCGTCTAAGCGATAATAATAATCCTTGCGTTGGATGCAGCGTCTTATCACGCCTTCGAGACGTCCCAAAGCGCTTCACAGAATATACCGTCAAGTGCAGTGACTGCGTAGTTCGCGGCCGAACGTGTTGGCGTGACGGCAACGTCAGGAGGAAGCGATGCTTTACAGACCTGAGTGGTTGTGTGCGGACCTCCCTTCGAGGCTTGTATTCAGCGGCTGACAATAGGGATTTTTTTTTATCCCCTCCGACGTGGACCACGATTTGCCCTCGGGCCGTGAAGAGATTAAAATATTTTCTTGGAAACCTCTCGGCACTTTCGGTCGAAGAAAATAGCTCGCCAACGACCGGAGGGGAAGGAAAGCCTAGAGAGAAATTTACGGCATTCGATAATTAGCGCGAGTCACATACTGTCAGAGGCGTTGCATCAAATGCAGGACAGGGTGTATTTTTAACCTCAAGGAGGCACTCGCCGCCGAGCGAGTGGGTGGGCGTGCGTTTTGTGGGCGAACGCGGCAGCCAGTTTGCACGCGGCTCGTCTCCGCAAACAGCTACGAAGCGAGCGCACGGTTATGTTTTTTTTTTGGGGGGGATTCCAGGTTTCGCCCACAAAACACACGGTCAATCCGTTTAAGTAATACGTCCCGCGAAGCGCTGCCAGACGTCTCAACGACGTGATGAGGCGCTATAACTGCTATTAATAATATCAATAATAATTGTGTCGGATGTAGCGCCTTATCACGTCCTTGAGACGTCTCAAAGCGCTTCGCAGGACGTACTGCAAAGCGGAGTGACTGCGGGACGCTACTCAGCGTGAGGGTGAGGACACACAAGCACTTGCTGTTGGTGTCGTTGTTGTCGTTATTATTATAACAGCTGATTACCGTCTCTCTCTCTCTCTCTCTCTCTCCTCCCCACACCGTGTGCGTGCAGGGCGAACAGAGTTCAGCTGCCGGGAGCTTCGATCGACCCGTTACATCTCGGACGGCTCGTGCCGGAGCCTCAAGCCGGTGCGGGAGCTGATCTGCTCGGGCCAGTGCCTGCCGGCTCACCTGCTGCCCAACTCCATCGGCCGGAGTCGTTGGTGGAGCCGGCACAGGCCTTCGGATTACCGGTGCATCCCCGCGCATTCCCGCACCCAGCGAGCCCGCCTGCGCTGCCAGAACGGCGAGACCAGGACCTACAAGGTGCGCGTGGTGACCGGCTGCAAGTGCAAGCGCTACTCGCGCCAACACAACCTGTCGGACGCCAAGAGCTTCGGCGAGAAGCCGGCAAAGGCCGGGAGGAACAAGAAGAAGATCTCGCGGCAGGAGAGCGGGAGCAGGGATAACCGTCACGAGCTCGCCGGGGGGTATTAGCGGTGACGAACTGAAACCCACCCACCCACCCCCCCACCCACCACCACCCCACCCCTCCTCGTTCCCCCCCCCTTTTTGTGGCCGGGGAAAACCCCCCCCGCGCGGAAAACTCCCGATATCTCGTCCCGCCCCGAGGGGAACGGGGCTCAGTGGCGAGCTATCAGGAGCAACGGGTTAGGTATCAAAATAATAATAGCAATATTAATATTAATCGAGACGTCCCAAAGCGCTTCGCGGGAGGGTGTAGTGACTGCGTGTTTCCTGGGCGAAAGGCAACGGGCGATCGCGCCCGGGCGACGTTCCCACACAAAGCAGTCGTGAGTGAGTGAGTGAGTGAGTGAGTGAGTGAGTGAGTGAGTGAGTGAGTGAGTGAGTGAGTGAGTGAGTGAGTGAGTGAGTGAGTGAGTGAGTGAGTGAGTGAGTGAGTGAGTGAGTGAGTGAGTGAGTGAGTGAGTGAGTGAGTGAGTGAGTGAGTGAGTGAGTGAGTGAGTGAGTGAGTGAGTGATCGAGTGGCTGAATTTTTTTTTAACGTATAAATAAAAAGTGGCCGGGATATTGAGAGCGCGATGGGTTCAGTGGGGGCGACAAGTTAAAGGAGGGGGTGGTGGAGGGGGGGGGGGGGGTCAAGTTATCCGTCGACACCGTTGAGACATCTTTGTGTCTACTCGGTTCCCTACGAGGACCGCTTTCCTGAATCATCTCAGGCCTTGAGGTATCACCCTCTCCCAGAGGAATCTTCTCCCGACCCGGGAGGATTGTCGGCCAGGACGCTGGAGGTGGGAGGGGGGGGGTTGGGGAGTGGGGGGGGTGAGGGAAAGGGAGGGGAGATATGTTAATTATAGAAATGTGCGCGGTTGGTTAATGTACAGCCCAGTGAGTTCGGTGCTGGATCTCATCCACTTTTTTTCCTCCTCCCTTGATAAGATTCTGCTTTTTCTTTGGGGTGGTGTGGGTTGGGGTTGGGGGTTTCGGGCGGGGTTGGGGGTGGGGCGGGGCGGAAGAGTGTTAACTTGCCGCCTGTTAATCTCGAAATCGACATGCCCGCTTCGATCGGGAATCGCGGACACAGCAACAACAACTTGCAGCTCTCTTCACTTGGGGCAGGGTCTCGGAACGCTTGCGGAGACCACGGCTGAAACTGCGGATCAGTTAAATAACAATAACAATAAAATAATACTAATCATTTCGGCTGCCGTGTGAAGATGTTCTCGCAAGTTGCTTTGTGTGAAGGTTTTCTTTGTGAGTTAAAAGTAATGTGTGTGTGTCTCTATGTGTGTGTGTGTGTGTGTGTAAAAGTTTCAGCAACGTAAAGATGCATTGGCAAAAAAAAAAACTATTATTGTAAGGATTTGGGGATAAGTGGCCAAAAGTATTTGGACACAATAATCGTGTGTGTGTGTGTGTGTGTGTGTGTGTGTGTTTCTTTTGTGTGTGTGTTTTTTAAAACCAAATGGATCGCATATTTATTTTTTTCTCTCTCATTTAAGTTATTTATCTACTTGCAAACGCGTCACCTGTCAAACGGCAGTGAGGAAACTTTCTTGCCTCGTAAAGTATTCTTGTAACGCAGACCGTGAAAGGGTCTGAAAAAATAAAACAGCCGAAATCGACCGATCAACGCCGTTTCCTCGTGGTTTGTTCCTGCGCACGTCGCTCCCGATGTCCTCGTCGCCAATTGCACAAAGCAAATGGGAGAGGCCCCTTCACCCACAAAGAGCGGAAAATATTACAGTAAAAACAGCAATAATAATCCTGGCCTTGATTAATAATCAATAATAATAAGCCTTGCAATTGATACAGTGCTTCATCACTTCTTCGCCGCGTCTCAAAGTGTTTCGCAGTGAGCGAGGTGAGGCGAGGCGAGGCAAGGCGAGGCTGTTCGAATCCGATTTTTTTTTCTCCGGCTCAAATCGTCTGTGGGAACCGCCGGATGTTGGGCTCTTCCCGAAACGACCTCCTCGCTGCTTCTTTCGGGGCTCCGTGTTTCTCCCGCAGTCCCAGTTGCGCTGATCCTCCCTGAAGTTTCTCCCCAGTCGCTGCGGCTCAGACACGAGCCTGGAGAGACGACGTGACAGCACGGATATAACCGTCGGTGCATCCGTCAAACCCTCAGGCTTCGCTCTCGCTGCCAGGCGTACAGTCAGACACTGAGAGGAAGCTAATCATTGAAGGCGACCTTGAGTGATAGAGCGAGTTCACACACACACACACACACACACACACAAACGCACCGCGATTTACAGCGCTCGAGTTCACCTCCTCCGCTTCACGTCAACCTGGCGGAGTGTGCAGCACTCTCAGCTCCGAGTCTGAAGCCCCCCCTCGCCCACCACGTCGGGACTTTGAGCTCACCCCTGACACATTAAACCGCGATCCCACCCGTGCCCTGTTCAGGTGGTTGTTAAGGATCACCGCAGCATTATTTCAAAAAAAAGAAGGGAGTTACTCTCTCCTTTTCCCCCACCCCCACAGATTAAATTGATCATTCGCTTTATGGCCGATTATGGGAATGACCCTGTGCGCAAAACTAGGATCAATTACTCTGTCACTGTTTTGTAAAGGATTACCGCGTTGTAAGGCAAAGCCATTTATGAAACATAACAGTCACTGATAATGATAATAATAATAATAATAATAATAATAAAACCAATAATAATCCTTGCATTCGATATCAGCTTCCCTATCACTTCGGAAGTTCGTCTCAAAGCGCTTCAGGGTAATTGTTGTCATTGAAGACACATAAAGGAGACAAGCTTTCGCGTTGCCTGAATAAATAGATGAAGTAAGTTCCCGTCACCCTCAACGCAGCGAAACGACTGTGCATTTTGGGGGCGAAACGTGGCAGCCAATTGTGTACAGCGACGTCCTCACAAACAGTCGTGGATCGGTTGACCACGTATTTTATTCGTCCGTTTTGTTGGGGGTTTTCTTTTTTGGGGCGCGGGGAGGGGGGGATTATTACGCCCCGGAAAGCCATCCGAGGATCAACTACCAAGCAAGTGTGGAGTCCTGTAGCTCAGTGGTTAGAGCACTCGCTTTGCAAGCGAGAGATCTGAGTTCAATTCCAGGCAGAGGGCCAAACCTTGGGCAAGTTTCCTTACTCCACACAGAGCCTAATAATAATCCCTCCAAAACCAAAAACGATAATAAATTGGTCATTTTCAATCTACGACTGTTTGTGGGACAGTGCTGTGCGCAATTGGCTGTCACGTTCGCCCACAAATATACAGTCAATTCACTTTACAGTGTGTTCTGTGAAGCGCTTTGGGACGTCCTCCCGACGTGAAAAGCGCTATATCAAATGCGAGGATTATTATTATTATTAAACAGAGGCGTGCGGAGAGTAAGGGAAAGTGCCCTAACCACCACGTTACAGGACCTTTCCCCTCATTCCCCCTCACCCGGCGCATCGCCCGGCTACTCGCTATTGTGGGCTCCGTTTCCTGTACATTTCAGGCGTCTTTTTCCAGTTTCCACTGAAGACGCCAAACAACATTTCTCTTTGAAGCCGAGAAACCGAGATTGTAGGTTGCGTTCTGGTGCCACCGAGCATTGGAGTGTTATGTCAGCTTGGTTTGCGATAGCGAGGGGCTGGCGTGGGTGGTGGTGGTGGGGGGGGGGGCGATGGGTGCGGGGGGTGGGAAGGGGGTGTGGGTGAGGGGTGGTGGGAAGAGGGGCGTAAGGAAAAAAGGGCAGCCAAGGGCAATTTCTTGGGCAAACAAACAATTTTCTAATCAATGCGAGGCAGACAGGAACCCACACATTTCGTCCCTGATCTAAGGAAAACAAAGACAAAAAAGAGACTGTTTGTTTGTTTGTGATGAAAATCTTTGGAGGGGAGGTGGAGGTTGGACAAGGAACTGGGAATAAATGAAGGAATGAATGAATGAATGAATGAATGTATGAATGATTGAATGACTGGATGGATGTCTGTAGATGTGAGCGGTCTGATTAGCGGTGTTTACACCGGTCACAAAGGAAAGTCCAACTCGGAATAAACAGGAAAAGGAGCGCAGATGAAGTAAATGAAGCAGTCCACATGTTTGGAAACCGTCAAAGAACGGTCAGCGCAAAGAAAACAATATATAGAAATGACAAAAGGTGAACTCAGCCCCAACAGGAATCTTAATCCAGACCCACTCCTCCCTTACTCCAGGATGAGACATTAAACCTCACTCCACGTCTGCCTGTTCAGGTGGTCGATAAAGATCCTACGGCGCTATTCGACAAAAGGGCATTTCTCTCTCTCTCTCTCTCTCTCTCTCTCTCGGTGTCCTGGCTGATAATTCCCCCACCTCCCCCTCCCAAATAAAATTAGTCGCTCACTCCATGGCTGTTTGTGTGCAACCGAGTTGCGAGGCTGCGCCCACACAATACGCGGTAACTCCACTTTACGGCGCATTCTGTGAAGCGCTTTGAGGCGTCTCGAGGACGTGATCAGGCGCTGTGTCAAACGCAAAGATTGTTGTTGTTGTTGTTGTTACTCCAGCTCTACTCCAGGGCTTACTCCGGGCTTCTTGAGCAGATCCGCCCCAGAAGAAAAACTAGAAGGGAATAACAGTAAGAAGAGTTATAATAATCCTCGCATTTGATACGGCGCCTTATCACGTCGTCGAGGCGTCTCAAAGCGCTTCACAGGATAGACCGTAAAGTGGAGTGACTGCACGTTTGGCGGGCGAAACGCGGCAGATCATTGCATACGGCGGCGTCCCACAAAACAGCCCCGGATAGAGCGACCGATCTGCTATTATTATCGGAATACCAGATGGGAATACCAGAACGCACCGCCACAGGCTTCAAGTGCGTTAAGCCGGTTACACCCTCTGCTTCTGAGAGGCTCCTTTGTTTCTCACATTCAGGACGACCTGAGAAGCACTGAAACCACCCGTTGCTTTCGCTTACGCCCTCCAGAAACTGGGCGGGAGGTGGAGGAAGGCAAAAGTCCCCGACCTGAAATGTTAACTCCCTTTCCTCTCTCCATAGATGCTGCCTGACCTGCTGAGCGTTCCCAGACGCT